TATTCATGTAACTCGTATTTTTGTGGAGGAAAAAAAGTAGATATAGCCAATTTAAAACTTACAACCAATATAAAGTTCAATATCCAGAGCGATAAAGAGGCCTGCTTTTAAACAGACGCCAGGCAAAATCATCAATCATAATAAATTCCAGTTGGGGAAAACAAATGTTCTACATGTCTGAAACAGACACATGCACTTTCGCACGCACATATGCTCTGTTGGCCTCCATCTCTCCTTGCTGATTTCTACACTCTTTACCCCTCAGTAGGTGGAGAGATTTAAACCCCCATAAAAACAAGTGAGTCAGATCCCCCCAGGTCTGCGCCAGTCCAGTCATCCAGAACCACTCTGTCTGGCTACAGCTGGACCAGTGTGGTATGGTCCAGAGTACCTCCCAGTCAAATCTATTTTCCTTCAGTTAACCTTTAGTCCACCAGAGGAACGGTGTTTGGATGAACTTTCCATGGTTTTGCAGCCAACAGGGTTAAAAGACATTCATGTGGTGTGATGGCAGCAGTGGTGAGTGAATATTGAGTTTATGAGCACTAAACAATGATGATGAAAGTGCTGGTCCTCTCCTCTCTTCTCCTCTCCTCAGCTCCTATACTCCACATATCTGTCCACCTCTGCCACGAGGAGCGTTGGCGTGGATGAGGAGATCAGAAGGAAGGTGTATGACAGACTGATGCCGGCTTTTGAGGAGCTGTTTGATGAGGTGGAGGGGTATACACTCAACATCCTGCTGCAGCCATGGACACTGCTGCTCAGCAGGGACAAAGAGTCCTTCAAGAAGGTAGCTATGGTACAGCCACAGTTTCATTCACTCTGTACGTAGTGTATGGTGTTTTTGATGAGCATTCAGTAAAACATTTAGTAACATCTCTTGCTCTATGGATGGAGGGTATGTGCATATATATATCTTTTTATGTTCTTTTTTGTCCAACTCTACAAATGATCTTATTTATTATGATGGAAAACCAAGAGAGGAAACACATTCCCATATTTGAAAACCTGTTTCTGCTTAACAAATGACTCATCAATTGATGATTAAAATAGTTGAGTCAGCAAATTTCCTTCAGAAGTACATGTTCATTAATCAGCTATTGATTGCAGCTCTATGTCTGTGTGTGCAGGTGCATGTGCAGGAGGAGGTACACAGGGTGGACAGTGAGGAGTACAGGGAACTCCAGAGTGTGTATGAGGAGTCAGAGCGTCGACTGAAAGAGGTTGAGACAGCCACACACTCATGGACAGCTCATATGAACATTAATGTAAAAAGGCTTCTTTGCTGTGTTGCTTTGTAACAATGAAGAGAATCTTCAGGACTTTCTTTTACTTGACATGAGTGGACCGTTTACATTTGTGTCATACAGCTGTTCTATAGAAGAAATGACCCATGTGACATTAGAATGTCTAGAAGGCAGTAAAAGGCATGATGTGATTTGATGATGTGGTTAAAGTTTTGAACGACACCTGATTTTCTCCCCGTCACTTGCTCTCTGCCTCCTCCTGCTGTGCTCCTACAGGTGCAGCAGTCCAGGTCCATGCCCTCTCTCTCTCCTACTGTTTCCTCTACTTCCTTCTCAAAGGAATTCGACTCTTGGTCCAGAGTGTCTCCAAATTACCGAGGTTACCGTCTGGGTTCCTTACTCCGTTACCGCCATGAGATTGGACACTTCATGTCTTTCCTTCAGAATCAGGATGCCAGGTCAGCTGAGGGACACATGTATTTCTATGATTCAGATTTACAATATCTCTTTAAATACATTTAAAATGTGCTTGATGTTTTCAGTACATTGCACTGAAGGCTATGTGAAGAGTAACACTGTGTTCTAAATGTGTGTCTGCACAGTATTCATCTGACATGTTGGCTGGATTTGGAGCAGTACAGGAGGACTCCCCAGAAAGACAAGGCTGTCAAACAAGAGAGGTCCTCTCACATTGCAACCAAATACCTCAACAGGAAGTATTTCTTTGGCCCTGACAGCCCTGCCTCCACAGAGCAACAGAATGACGTATGTCACCTCCATAACTTGAAACCCAATATGTTCAGTATTATTAGTATAGGGTTTGAATTATTGTTAACATCCTGGGAAAGCAATGTAGAGAGCTGAGAGACACTTGGTACCCAGGACATGACAATCCCAACATTTGATGTGAGCTCCAGCTGAGGCTCAGCATCCACATGTGACAGTCCTCGATGACAGTCCTGACAGCACGCTGTCATTGGGGAACAGGGATAAGAAGAAATATTAAAGACATATTAAAACTAGAGAAAGGACTGGGGTGTGATTTGGATCCAGGGAAGAAGAGGACGTTCTGCTCCAGTAACAATGACAATAAGATTAAATCTCTACTGACATATATAGTCTGAGATTGGGTTTCTGTAGTCTAGGGTTACTGCAGGAGGGCATGGTGTGATAAGTTTGAATGAATAGATAAGACATGTGGCAGTGAAACCTTATTTACTTTTTCAGGACATTAAAGGTAGCAACTTAGCTGTATTTGTTGCCACATCACAGCAATGTGAGTCATGTCGTGTGTTACAGGACACATTTTTTCTAAGGCGTTCACCCAATTGATTTTAAACTGGATGTTATTCAACTTCATTCAATATTTATATAAAGCAATGATGTTGCCCCAGAGAGTTGCAAGCCAGCATTTTCCATAAATGATCTAGAGTGCGGCGGCCTGCCATATTCCAATTTGTCCCGCTACAGTTTCATAATGAACCATAAACAATTATTTCAACTCTCATAATAACATACGAAATCTCTAACTTGGTGTTTTGCTCCGTTGGTGTGTACTGTGCACTGCTATTTGCCACATGCTCACTCATGCTATTGGGCGCTATTACCCTCAAAGTTGTTCCCGTCCATGCATGCTGTCAGACCCCATCCTTTCTTCTGCAAGTGTGAGTGTATCCGCGTACCTCTTGGTCGTTTGCACTTGGCTGATGCTGGACTCACTTACTTTTCTCACTTTCAATCACAACAAGTGTGTTCAGTTGTTCCCTTGTACTGTTTTCAAATTAGCTGAGCTACTCTCTGATTTCTCTGTCATATGGAAATTGTACAACATCAAGGGCAATATGGGGAAAAGTGCCTTGCCCAATGACACGTTGACATGCAGACTGGAGGTCCTTCGAGTTGAACTGATTGGAGGACGACCTGCTCTCCCTCCTGGTGATGATGCCTCTTTACTTCTCGTAGAGAAACATTCATTGTACTTGTTGACATGGATTGAACTCTGCTGCAGTACCTTTATCATTTGTCATCCTCATCTCATAAACCACCTCATACTGTCATAATCATTATAGCTGCTTATTTGAATGAAGATGCCAATTGCAGTGCTTCGAACTCTGTGGGACGGGGTCTGGCTGCTGCTCTTGCATCTCAGTGTTGGTTCTCGTCTGCATGAGCAATGTAGAGACTGACAGCTTTACTGCTTTGGCCCTTTACTCTTTCAATCACTCAGTCATCCAGTCACAGATTGGCCCCCTTTCATCTGCTGACTCCTGCTCCAGGGCCACGACTGGTTCTCATTTCTGGAGCCTCTTTTGAGTGAGTGCGGGTATGCCTGTGTGCGTGCAAAATGAGATGAGAGAAATATAAAGGAAATATAAAAAGGGAGACACGGCCAGATCGATGTATGAAGACAGAAAGCAGACAGGGGAGATGAAGAGAATGCAGCCATTGTGGGAATGATGAAGAGCACAGCAGGAATAAGGAAGGAGAGCAGTTTTCATCAGCGGTTCCCACTTGTCAGAGTTTGTCAACCACCTCATGTGCTCCTAATGTGGTTTTATAGAAATCTTTAGCATTCATATCAAACACACATGCAACATCTGCACCTGCTGAGGCTTTGACTGTAATTCTAGTGGTTCTCTTTCTCACTCTTTCTGTGTGTGTGTGTGTGTGTGTGTGTGTGTGTGTGTGTGTGTGTGTGTGTGTGTGTGTGTG